GTCACTTGTCAGTTTTGACATGTGACACGTCATTTTTAACTATTTTTCAATGTCAAATTCAATGGTGACCTCCATTTTGACCTCAGAGGTCATGTAAAGGTCATAGGACATATCTATTTCAATTTCAACTGAAATTTAACCCCGAATTCAATGGTGATCTCCATTTTGACCTCAGAGGTCATATAAAGGTCACATAAGGGTTATCAACTGTTAAATTTGACACAAATAAGACACAAAAGTCGAAAACACGTCAGAAGTGTCAATCTTAACAAATTTTCGAACAATTTGATATTCACATTGACGTATGACACTCCTTTCACCCCTTGGTTACATGCGTTGTAACGGTTTATTCATTCATTATTCAATAAATTCTTGAAAAAAGGGTGAATGTGTTTTTCCAAGTTTTTTGAAAGAATTAATACTGGCTAAATCTTTATTCATTTCATATTCATGAAGAATGAATGAGGCTGAAGTGGAATTTTATTAATTTTTCATTTTTTACACTATGCTTGATGCATTGAGAAATCAATTTAAAAAGGCTAATCGAAGATAAGGAAAAAGTGAAAATTGGATACGAGAACATAGTTATTCTGAAAATTTAGAATAAATTAATAATTAATTAATTGATTAATTATTTTACGAATATTTATACAAATATAGAAAAAAAATAAAATAAGATAGAGTAAAATTTCAGTATCCAAATGTATTATAATTATAATTTTCAATATTAAAGGTGCCCAAAAACCTAAGAGGTCCCATCCTAAAGTCAAAACTGGAAGGGGACGCCTTTTAACCCTTCTTATGCAAAGCGTAATGATTTACTATAGCATAATGCCATGGATCCTGTACCCATTATTTCTCTACCTTGGAGTGGATTCACCCTACATTTTTTACAAGTTTATCATATCCGCAACCCAGCACAAGACCAATTTTTCCATCAAGCTGACAATATTTATGACCCGGTCGTTCTATCTTTTCACCTGTATTTTTGAAGGGTACCGAATGTTTGCGTTTTACATAGTGTACGTCGCAGTTCACTGTATCGGGAATAGTACCGTTTTTGCAAAGTTGCACACCCTTTTGACCAATGTGCAAAATGACGATTTCTCGGAAATTGACACGATTTGCCAGTATTTTAACAGGTTTCGAATAATTTCTAAACATAGTGAAATTCAGCATATGAATTTCACTTGTTTCGGCTACTTTACCACGATCTGTGTAGGGATACTGTGCAATTTTGTCACGATTAAGATGTATCATAGCTTTAATGTAATGTTTTACCTGGTTTTTGCAACCTTGTCGGTGCTCGTGCTGGTTGCGTTGCCTAATTTGACGCAACTTTCGATTGATAGCAATCAGAGTTCGGAACTTGTAATAGAGAAATTGAAGGAGAAGTGGCTTAGAACGTATGAGACCTCTGCGGGAGGAGGACGAAATGGGGGTGGGGGGCATAAAGCTAAAATTCTGAAGAAACGGATTAAATCACTCTTTACGTTTAAAATATCGCTGGGCATGAAATCCCTGACTTTTACGGATATCACGATGGGGACGAAGTCTGTAATTTTCTCATCCATCATTGACTTCTCAATTTCGGCTTTGTTATCCATTCCAGTAGAATAAAAGATAGTATGGTCCCGAATTTATGTTTGGCAGTATATAATCATCTATACAGTAACAGCAATAATTAATGTACAGAGTTACATAAATAGTTACAATTACATATATCTGGTAGTGTTATGTTGACCATATTTACAAATGTAGGCACATATTGTGTGTACATGGCCATATGTAAATAGTACCTAAATATATGTATACTACATATGAATATGTATGTATGTTATGTACAAATATATGCTATATCCTTTAACAATTGTGAAAAATGCAAGAAACTGCGCCTGTAATGTAAATATATATATGTATATGTATGTACCACTTGTTTCATTCTATATTTTCTCGAATATGTTTTGAGTCAAAAGGACTGATGTACATACTGCAGGCTTTTCGAATCATCAAACATCATTAACCACGTGGGTTAAATTTAATGCACCACCGAATTAGTTGAAACTTGCCACAATTTTTAGCCGAATTTGCCACTGGATGAAATTTTTCTAACTTTGGCCTTTTTAGCCACCAACTTAGATGGTGGTTACCACAAAATTAGATGGGCTGCCATTAAGATATTTGATGACGTTAAATATGGATATAGGTTACAAAAACAATGCACAATTTACAATACTATGATTTACTTATTTATAATTATTTGCCTATATCGTTTTAACATGCAACTGAAATAATAATGAGCGCTTTTTTGGTTTTACAGCTTTAACACTTTTCACCCAATGGAACGGTTTTAGCTTCCGGTCGACTAACATCTAAAGCGTATTCTGGATTGCTAAGCCAATTATAGGCCAAACGTGTTCTTTTAAATACAGGCGGGACGTGAACATGTACACTCAAAACAAAACGGTGTCAATATATGACTTAACCGCCTTGGTTAAAATTATGATTCCGAGTAGTAATGAATTTTTTCCGTCCGGTCATAACATTACAACCGGTATCAAAATCATCAAAACTCGGATTCAACATTGTAACCAAGGCGGTTAAGTCATATATTGACACCGACGGTGTTGATTCGACAAATTTTTATTTTGAGTGTAGAATTAGTCCATTGATTGGTGTGAACGATCCATAATCTTGTGACGCTAGTGACGCAGGAATCGAAAATTGTTGATGACCTGTCCGTATTCACCCAATCTTAGCAAGCGGTGTTGCCCGTTATCACCGCTCCGGTTAAGTCATATATGCACTCCGTTTGGTGATGATTCAAATTGATTCAATACCATTTTGCTAAGAGTGCCCGCAATGTAATCCGCAATTTGTAAATTTTCTTCTTACACCATCCTCTTTCAAAGAAGGTTGGCGTGAAACAGAGACAAAATAATGCTTAATGTTTGGTTCATCTTTAGATCTATTATACCTGGTGCTTGGTTTTGAATTATTCCAATTGAAAGCATCGGTAGTAGTAGAAGTGGCTAGGTTTTTTCGCCAAAGATTTCTCGCCCGCTTTATTTCTTATGGGGAAATCCTTGGCTAGGTTTTCTCGCCAAGGATTTCTCGCCCGCTTTATTTCTTATGGGAGAAGCCAAAGATTTCTCACCCACTTTATTTCTTATGGGAGAAGCCAAAGATTTCTCGCCCGCTTTATTTCTTATGGGAGAAGCCACGGATTTCTCGCCCACTCTATTTCTTATGGGAAAAAAGACGGGTCCTCATCACACACTTCTTATGAGGAAAAAGAGGGCTCCTCGCCACATACTTTTCCTTACGGGAAAAAATACGGGTTCTCGCCACCATACATTGCCTTATGAGGGAAAAAGACGGTTAGGGCTTCTCGCCACAAGGCCTTTATAGCATGGGTATGTATTGCAAGGTTATGCTGACTGCTTATAGCCGCTTTATTTCTTATGGGAGAAGCCAAAGATTTCTCGCCCGCTTTATTTCTTATGGGAGAAGCCAAAGATTTCTCACCCACTTTATTTCTTATGGGAGAAGCCAAAGATTTCTCGCCCGCTTTATTTCTTTTTTCTTTATTTCACTTTTCGTGTCATACTTTTATAAATTTTACATAGTAAACGGATGACTTTCTGAAACATTTTCCTTGAGACAGTCGCCAGAAGAGTGTTCTACTCAAATATAAGGATAATAAACCTTAACGAATTATCGCACCCTCCTTGGCGTGCGAAAGACAGGAATAACTGTATCACTACTTATGACTCACCCTTTATATGGGTCAGAAATGCATATTTCCTAAATTTTTCCTTTAAAAAAATGATTATCGTCACCCGTAAATATTTACCTAATCAAAATAAAATGTAATTTGTCTAAAAACACCAGCACTCGAAATAAAAGTTGTGGAGAATTTTAAAGAAATGTTCTGTCTCTGTCATCCTTTTTTCCTCACGCTCGAGTAAATTTTGTATGACTTATAGGTATTTAGATACATAGACTGAATGAATTCTAGGAATTTCACATACCGTAAAAACTCAAATAATAGCCATTGCTCTAATAGTAGCCGTGTATTTTTTCATTATTTTATAAATAGTGACCTTGCCCAAATAGTAGCCCTATTCAAATAGCAGCTTTATTCGAATTATTGCCGTGCATCAAGGTCCAATGTTCAGCCACATATCTAGCCAACTCATTTGCATAAGTAATTCAATTACAATTTAATTTAGTCGCAGTTACACAAAATCGAAGAAAACCCAAAATTTGGCTCCGAAGACATTGATTATGAGCAGGCCTAAACAATGGCATAGTCATCGATTACGATTCTGATGCACGAGAAATTGGTGCTGTTATCAAAATTTAATTTGAGCTTGATTCTTGAGACGAAAGTCAATAGCTGTATTCTAATAGTAGCCGTTCGTCTTTTCGTAATTTTGTAAATAGTGACCTTGCTCAAACAGTAGCCGGGTCCCAGACCCCGATTTTATAAATAGTAGCCCCTGGCTACTATTTGAGTTTTTACGGTATGTAATTTGAGGTTTTACATATATTTATAAATGTACGAATGTACGATAGACGCTGAACGTCATCCCATCCAGAGATGGAAATCTGAGGGAAAAATGGCTTGACCTTCTTAGGAATTAGGATACTCCTTCTTAAATCTTTCTTGTTGGCAGTCCTTTTCAATGTACGGTATTATCTACACATAATATAATAAATAAATATATACATATACATAAAACTGGTTCCAACCGAAATGTAATTTCAGCTTCCAAGAAGGTTAACGATATATGTATGCACAAGTTATTGACTCATCCCAAATCTAACTTGATCCCATTATCTTCTCACAAAGGAAGCCTTGCACTCAAGTAGGTGACACTTATCGAAGGACACAACCGTCATGTCGTACCATGCGTCATCGATATTCCTTTCCCATTACGATTTCAACCTCTTCCCAAACAACACATATGTGTTGTTTGGGGAAAAATTTATGTAATTGTACAATTACATAAATTCTTCACGTAAAGCTCAATATATCACGCAATTCAAACAATTCGATCAAGTGCTGTCAGGTTGATCGAATACGTAATCAAACGTGTAAAATTCTGCAGATCAGATACATATATCTATTTCCGTGGACAATTTTGAACTTCTCAATTTGTACGAAATGTAAGTGGTCAATTAAATTTTAATCTTTTAGTTTAAATAAAAAAAGTTTAAATAACAAAATTAAACTCATAGCTATGTACATGAGTTTAATTTTTTTATAGAAGAATTAAGCTCGTATTTATACATGTATGAGTTTAATTGTTCAGTTTTGAAATGTGGTTTTGAACCAGTGAAGTTCCCATACTAAATTTTAAGATAAGTTAATTTATTTACGCCGCAGAACGTCCAAAACGCCATGGTCCGCTATGCCTTTTCCACCATGTGGCAAAAACGGACCCCAATTTCTACCCGTTTATAGTTATCAGACGTAAGCAAATGGATTTATTTACATAATTAGACATTCATAAAATATGCACACGTTTCTTTACTTATTTTTTAATTCTTTTATTTCCTGCGTTATTATCCACATAAATATAGCATTTAAATGAAAATACAGTCTGACCAGTCACACAATATATATTTATTTAGGAGCATATCTATTAAAAATCGTAATTCATACTAAAAGTCATTTTACCAAAGTATAATTAAGAAAAAAAACACTAATTTAATCTGCAATATTAAATGGTAAAACATTCTAACATTTTAATGGCCGTAGTATTAAGGAGATGGCGAATTCTTTTTTCCTTTTCGTAAACAAATACTAACATTATACATGCATACACCACGTCTAAAATATACCCATTTCTTCAGTTGTGACTGATTTTTTCAGCTTTAATGGAAGCCACTCATCCAGCGTAAACCCAAACGGATAATTCAGCCAATTTGGGAAATCCCGCCGCTATAAATGTGTACATATTGATGTAGACCTCCATCACCGATGTTTCAATCCGTTAGCGTCCCCTCATTTTCATTTCGACCATCGTCCAAGCATGGCATCGCGTGATTTCATAATTCGAAAATTATCCCGTTCCACCAGCAACAAGTAATGTCGTCCCTAATTTGTACTTTTAACTTTATATTGCATACATAATTTAGCCTAATTTTGAAAGTGGAATATGTCGAAATTTGTGCCATTGACACAAGAGTTTAACCGATGTACAGACCCGTTGCTCTGTTCTGGACCGGATAAAAAGTCCTCTTTTGTGGGCAGGAAGGATCGTGCACGCGCTCTTCTCTACTTTTGCACGGAGTCATGTGAAATTTTAAACTTTGTCCTAGAGATGCGAAATTTGGCATGCACATGAACCAACATATGCTGCATCATAATATAACATCAATTCCCGTTCCGTTCGCTATAAATTTTTCAGGAAAAATCAAAAACCAAGTGAAATATGGGTGACTATTTGATTGTAATTATATTTCCTGAAATTTGGGAACCGCATTTGCGACACATTTTGCAACAAAATTTGAACGAAATCGAAGTTAGAATATGAGTAAGGAGTTTATGTTCAATATTACAACGGATTTCTGATATGACCTGTTGCCAATTCGGACTTTTGGAATTAATGCAAGGTTTTGTTACCTATTCGGAATTTTGTTAATTCTGGGGTGACTTGTTGACTAGACCTTCTATAGATACATACATACATATTAGGATACAGTATCTACACAGTGTATTGTGTAGATATGCGCATGTGTCATGGATTTCTCATGGAATAGATTGCATATTATGTTGTGAGCATTCCATCTGGCTCAATTCATGATATGGATTTAATTATGCATTTGTGTGTGTGCATTTACTGATGAAAAATGTGTGTCGTCATTGTGTAGAATTATGAGAAATGGAAGAGGCAAGTTGAAACAAATGTGTGGAGTTTTATGACAAGTTTTAGCTGGTTTTATTTATTTGTATACTTGACAAAAGCTCCAGGCCAGGAAGAATAATCTATCAAATCTCATTCCAACATCCATCCATCCATACTCACACATACATACGTGGCTACTTTTCTAAGTCTTCAGTACTCTAAAACTCATAAATAAAGGGTGAAAGGCAAAGTCGTAATGTGTAGGAGACGAAACAATGTCCTTCTGTTTCGCTACATGGTTGATTTTAGGTGTAGAAGAAAGCTGACACCGGTCTGATTTTTGTAGACGGTGACGAAAATGAGAGGTTGGTCTCACAATATATATATGAGTCAAGTAAAGCTATTGGATAATGCCTCCTTACTGGTGCCACACAGACGGATTCGAATACAAAAATGACAGTATTAACGGTAACATGTTTGTATTTCTGCAATTACACCTGTTTGTGACAGGCAAAGAGATTACATCTATTTTGACATAGACGTACTCCTATTTATTGGCCGATCCTTGATTTCTGGCGAGCATTTTATCCTCCGCAATTTTTTTTAGAAGCTAACGTCCGACAAGCTTCTTGTAATGTCTTTGCACTTCATTTATAGTCATATTGTAAGAATTAGCAGATTTCCGTGATATTGTGCGTTGCGAAAAGTGAAAAGGTGCTCTTTTTATTCGTCGTGAAAATTAATGTGCATAAATTGAGGAAGCTTAAGATTGTATAATTCAGAGCATTTATTCCCACTTGCCCGATGCCCCAAAACAGAATAATCTTTTCCTCGACCTTTCTTTACATATGCCCATACATGCATTAGTCAGACATACAAAAGATACTTATTTGCTAAGTACAACGTTATTGCTCTCCATCCGGTTGGAAAGGGTCATTGGTCAAAGCCATAAAACTTGAGGCTCAAATTCTCTCCCGAATTTGACGCCTTGGACACGGATAGTGTGTGCATCGTGGACAAAGTTGAGTTACACGGATGGAATGAATGCATCTTTGTCCCACTTGTCGACCTCACTCATAATATGAATATCACTAGTCGTTTTTTTCATTTTCCTGTTTCAAATATATACGGATTACTGAGTCACAAAAGTAATTTAAAGCTATCTTTTACTTGTCTCCTTTCAAGAATTGGCCTCTTCGGCCAACTCAAAACGTTGTAAGTACTTGTATGTGTCGGGTCCGCACGACCAGACAAGGTAGAACTGATGACCCATAATTTGAGAGATTTTGTGACGGTGGTGGTCCTTGTTATGAGTTGATTTTATGATAATACAATAAATGAGAAAGCTCACACACATTCTGCTTCTTATTACAATTTTCGTAGGAACATGACTATGATTGTTCGCCTGCGTGTACCACTTCTAATTTTATTCTCCAATTGTCGCAATAAAATATATCATTCAAGTATTAATTAATAAAAAATTTAATACTAAGCAAATATATAAAGCTCTATAATAATTTAATATTTAATCCTTTCGTACTAAAATATTAAAATTAAACTACAAGATAGAAAAAGGTAATTTCTATTTGTGGATACACATAAATTTACATAAATTTTTTATCACACCAATCGAATGTGCAAGGAAAAGGTCAAAACTTACCTTACATGATCAGATCGCTCTCCTCAGTTATGATGAAGTCAATAATATTATGCTTTTCCAAATAACAGAGCTGGCCATCGGCCTCATATGGGCGAACAAACACATGAGGTTTATTTTTTTCATATATTCTCTTTTCTTCCTCCTTTTTTTAAATTCTCTGAATTTAATGTTTTATTTTTTCATGTTGTTTCTTTCGGCTTCATAAGTTGCAGATTTTGCTTCTAATAAACGGCCACCAAATATTGCTACTGGGGTGATGCCATTATTAATAAGTTGTTTAAATAGTTGGCAGGTATAAGCTACCGAGTAATTCTTCGAGTTGACTTTCGGTGACATTATTGCCTTGAACATGAAAATAGACATGTTAATTCCACATCCCTTATCTTGGAAGGAAACATCGTCGAGTTTACAGTCGATGCACGATTCTTGTATGTATTCGCTTGCATTAAGCATTACAAAAAACAAATGCGTGGTGTTTAATTGTTTTTACTCAATTGATGTGTCGATTATATTGTCAACAATTTTCTCTGTCTTACTAATACATATACCTGGTAAATTGTCTTGGTAATCAACTCCTGCTATTGCGCACATTTTCTGAAAATCATAGCATTTTTGGCGCCCTGACGTTTTGGCGCGGTGGGCAATTGTCCCGCTGGCCCCCCCCCCCCCCCCCCCCCCCGCCCCAAACAAAAAAAAATCGGGGCCTGGTTAAACCTAACCTTAGCCTGTTCTAGTTCCTGTTCTGTGTTGATTGCTCTTTTTTCAGCATTTTGGCTTCTTGATTGCTTCTTATTGCCACCTGTCTGTCTTTTTTCCAATTCTGATGTATCCTTGTGAAGGATTTTCTGAGGGCTTTTTTACTATTTTCAGCACCATTATTATCACTTACGTCTAACCGCGCAATACAGAAATCCTCTTCATAACATGCGATGATATCGTTCAGAAAATGATATGCAACTAACAAACACACTACTAATAGAAGTTCAATATCGCTGGTATTATAAAACTTGTTTTTTTCATCCAAACTAGTGCCTTGAGATGTATTACAAGGTTACTAAAACACAAAGTTACTAAACCAATACCTTGTACAACACCAACCAACTAAAGCGGTAGTAACGTATTTCCAAAATTTGTCAAATGCCTTTGTTCGTGGCCAATGACCAGTTCTTTTCACAGAGATGTAATATGAACAAGACCTTAAGAAGGATATCGTTAACGGGACAAATATAATGGGAACTTGAATGACGTATCCTTCAGCTTCCATTTTTGACCAAATGGACTCGTCGGGAGTATTTTCAGTTTTGTTAGATACGCATGTCCACGAGACGGAAAAAATGTATAGTGTTGTGGGCCGGTGTCGACATGACGAACCACATTCCCGTGACGTACGTAGAGAGAAGTCCTGCACTCTGTACCAATCCAAATAGGGATAATATGAACAAAGTTCTGAAACATAAACGAATAAATATACATTTAAGAGGCATGGTTTATTTAGATACTAAAAAAATATTAATTGGAGAAGTGGGAGTCGTGACATTTGTAAACTGACATACAATTTTTTTTTATATAATCTTGTGCAAACGATGAAAATAGTGTGAATGTTATTTAACATGACCAGGCAAAATAGACAAACTACACGCAAAATATTTGCTTAGGCGAGATTGTCACCGGTAGACTATTTTCGCGCCTTGAGGCATAGAATAAACCTCCATTCCCTAATTTGTTAAGTAATCAGAAGTAAACAAAAAAAGGAAATTTACCTGCGTATTTTCACGTATCTGAGGAAAATTGCAATTATTACTGAAGTAGAGGCGTAGAGTAATGCTATTGGCCAGGTAATCCCAAAGAATCCATTGAATTCCCAGAAAATTAGAAGTGCAAATGGAAGAGATATCAAACCAACAGTGATCAACTCTTTTGCAAACTTTATAATAATTTAATATTTAATCCTTTCGTACTAAAATATTAAAATTAAACTACAAGATAGAAACCGGTAATTTCTATTTGTGGAGGTCTTAAATTTTTTATCACACTCATCGAATGTTCAAGGAAAATATTGTTCATCTATGTGAATCATATGATGTCTTTTTCGACTCTTACCCCATGTAAGGATTGTTTGTAGTCTATGTCACTGAGGTCACACATTTTATGAAAATCACTAAAGGTGTAATTTTGTCCTTTTTCTCTTTGCAGTACGTGTAACAATGTTTCTTTTTTGTACAGTACACCATATCCTCTCTTTTTCAATTTATACAAAACCTGCCTTGACCCATGCAGAATTAAATCACTGTCCTAAGTTATTACAAAATCAATAATGTTATGTCTTTCCAAATGATAAATCTGTGAATCGCTCTCATACGGGCTAACAATGTGCTGTATGTACTGGCTCATTCCATTTGTAAGCAACACGTTTGATCGAGTCCCAGAAAATAGAGGTGCTAAACCCTGCTCGCTGGTGGTGGCTGCCTAACCATGTATTTTCTTCTCTTTGATATGAGAACACCACACAACTTATGCTTTGTCAATGTTCCCGGCCACGTAGGAACACAGAATTATTTAGTGCCGTCTACACAAGCAGCCCATGTTAATTTTACCTTTTCGAATAATCGCCAAAACTCCAAGACGGACAAAAATCGCGTGGGGTTTTAAACGTTTTTGTTTCCTCAGGCCCAAAGGCATCGATTGGCTTATCTCCCTATAAGCGATTTTTGTCCGTCTTCTCGATAATCGAGTTTTTCAATACATTTTAAATTTCTGATTTTTTTGAATTTTTGAATTTTTTAAAATTTTTCCTATCAATAAATGATCAATGAATGAAATCCGTAAATGTAACCTACCCCTTTGAACCTAAACTTTGGCGACAAAAGCATTTTCAATGCATTTGCAAATTTTCTTTCAACTGCAGTATCTTTGCGAAAAAAATTAATTTTCAAATTTTGATTTTTATGATATGTTTTATTTTATATTATGCATCTCTGATACGATTGTGGACAAGATATAAAGTATGGGTGCGACGACGATCGTGTGGGTTGAGATGGAATGAGCCTACTGTACTTATCATGACAGTAACGCACAATTTCGTTCTTTTTTTAACTTCTCTGAATTTACGTAATCGTTTAAGCTCATCTATTTCCTCGTTTAATTCTATCACCTCGGCTTTATTTTTTCATGTTGTTTCTGTCGTTTTTTTAAGTTTTAGGTTTTGCTTCTAATAACTGGCCATCAAATATTGCTACGTAGTATTGCTACGAATATTCTACTATTAGTGGTGCCATTATGAATCAGTTGTTTAAACAGTTGGCAGGTATAAGTCAACTGGATCTGAATTTGTAAATGACTCTCACGGATATCTAATTTTGAAAAGAATAATTGTTGGTGACGTTTGTATTTTAAAAAACGTCTGCATCTATACATATGTAACAGAATTTCTAAAAATGTATAGCTTATACCTTCAGAAGTAGTTGCGACACGATTTCGCTGTATTTTTGGTTGGGGTCCTGTACTACAAATTGTAGACCTTCTAGTCAATTGTGGACACGAGAGTAATTAATATTTTGTTTGAATGAATAAGAAATTTTAGAATATTCTGACGACTAAAACTTAACCATAAGTTTTATACGTTGAGACGAGGCTTGGTTTAGTTTGGTCATTCGGCTTTCACAAGCATCAATCTGGAAACATGTGCAATTAAACCCATTTGTCTAGCTATCCAATAATTTGCATATCGTCTCGAACGATTCGCGATGAAATGCTGCATTTTGATTTTTTACACATGTCGAGTTAAGCATATGTAAGGGATAACATGAATGATGACACAGGGTTGCAAGAATTGCTACTTTTATATAATTGTAGGATACAAATCTTCTTCTAATTACCATTTCATCCGCTACATAGATAAATATTTGCTGACATTTTATTATTAAGTAATTCTATTTATTTTTCCCGTTCATATCGTTTTAATTAGCATATCTTATAATTAGTTAATTATATGTAGGTCTGACTCAAGGGTAATAATTTATTCAAAAGAATATTCTATCTTACGAGGGAACCTCTTATAGTGCCCGGAGCTCCCAGCATAACCACTATGTACATTCGACGTAGATTTTAATACTAGTCCGATGATGGGACAAAATTTCCGTGTCAAAATGACATTTCGTCAAGTGGTGACGACTTTCGTGACGCGCCGAACGGTCACTTTCGCCCATGCTTTCAAAAGAGGAACGCTTTTCACCACTCGCTCCTCACTCATCTTACTTAAATCTCAACCGATCTACTCATGAGTAAACTCGCATCTAATTTAACTGTATTTGAATTCTTGACAAAATCTTCCGCAAAACTCGGTCGACAATTTCAACTTTATTAACTGGAATTGATGAAGCGTTGGAATCCCCTGAATACCTGTCCTTTGCGATTTTAAGAACAGTCTCACAAATTGATACAATTATAGACATTCTATAATTTTTAAACTTCGAATATTTCAAGGTAAAAAATAATATTAAAAGGCTACAAATAGTAAACAAGGATTATATTGTCAACACAGTTAAATTGGATGCGAGTTTACTCATGAGTAGATCGGTTGAGATTTAAGTGAGATGAGTGAGGAGCGAGTGGTGAAAAGCGTTCCTCTTTTGAAAGCATGGGCGAAAGTGACCATTCGGTGCGTCACGAAAGTCGTCACCACTTGACGAAATGTCATTTTGACACGGAAATTTTGTCACATCATCGGACTAGTATTAAAATCTACGTCGAATGTACATAGTGGTTAAGCTAGGAGCTCCGGGCACTATAAGTGGTTCCCTCGTTAGCAACAGTGACGTGCTTGGTTATTAAATGTAAATTTTAATCAACACGTTCTCCGAGCTTAATATTTCAATTTTATAGAAAGAAGTGTCAATTTATAAACTATTTAGCTTGACATTAACAATTCTTATAAATTAGGTATTTATTGTTACATAATGTTATAAACGTATTAATTACTGTTAGCAATTACCGTTAGATATCCACTATCATAAAAATACTTGACAAATTACTTTGTAGCGAGTTAATCCAATTAACTGAAAATGATTAATGCATACATTCTTATAAATATCTGTTATTATTAATGATTTGATTTAATGGGTATTCAATAAATATACAAAACTCAAATTTTATTCAAACCTGGATTTATTTGTCAATCTGAAATTGCTCAAGTTCATTTTTTATGTATCCTACTTATGTATCGACATAAGTAGGATACATAAAAAATCCAGCCTACGTATTTATGCATGCATACATATGTGCATACATATATGCACAACTTAAACACAATTGCGTAAAAACTTTAAGCTATATAAAAATAATGATACATTTTGCAGGGCGTTAGATTTTTCAAAATTTGACATTATTTCTAAATTAAATTTGATTAACTTGATAAAAACCTTTCATTAAAAAACTGAATGTCCTGCATGGAACTAAAAAAATATATTTTGTATGTATTTATTTATGTATGTGTGGCTTGTGTAACAGATTTGTAAATACAGCTCATTCTTAATTAACCTCAATTAGATTAAAGTGATACTTTATTTGTCCAAACTAAACCATGAAATCTCAACTGCATTAATCAATTCACTTCTTAACTCACACTACGCCAGACACAGATAAAATACATACATGTCGGAAATTCGCAACTTTAATTATTCCAAATAAAAATTTATCATGGTTTTCACCCAGAATATACTTTTCATATTTTTGACCACGGCCCTGTTTCACTTTTCCATGTGTAATCTAATTTCTGAAAATGAGATAATTCCACAAAACGAGACAACCGGGGAGTCTATTCTTCTCGGCGAGATTTCAAAACCGCCCCTGGATCGGCGCACGTATCTTGGCGTGCTTCTTCCCAACGGGATGAAAGTGATTCTAGTCAGTGACCCAAATACGACGAAGGCTGCCGCTGCGTTGTCCGTGTCAGTCGGTAAGTAAATTAAAAAGCGATCATTAAAAAAAATTTTAAAATAAAATAATTTGCGAAATTTTGAAACAAAAAATGTAAATGGTTTACAAAGTATAAAAAGTTCAGCTTTGTAAATTATAAAAAAATCAAATAGTTTAGCAATAGGGGTATTCATTTCCAGGTCGCATCGTTAGTAAAAAAAAACAAAGCTCGCAAAAGATGTTGACCGGAAAATTCTGTGCATATCCAAGCCTAGCCATTTTTTTCAAATTCTGTTCCGAATGGAACATGCGAACTCATAATACCGCCATAATTGCTACCGTTCTGCTGGAAAACGATTCAAATTTGCAAAATATTCGCATAAATACAAATGTTGAAAAAGGAGCCTCTTGTACATGACTGGCCTTTAATACCTCAGAGTAAAATAATTTTCTCACAGGGAGCATAAACGACCCGGACGATTTTTTAGGGATGGCACATTTTCTCGAGCACATGCTGTTCCTCGGTAGCCAAAAATATCGTGATGAGAACAGCTTCCACAAATTCATTTCAGAACACGGTAAGGAAATGAAAGTAGTAGAGATTGATTGCAGTATTTTTACGCAATTTGGAGTTTTAATGATTTGAAAAGGTGGGTATTCCAACGCGGCGACGCAGTCGGATAAGACTTACTACTACTATCGAGTTTCGCCATTAGCATTGGAGGAATCTCTTGACAGGTAATCAACTGTTCAAAATATAAGGAGAGAGATGCTCGACTGTTGGAGTATTTTCAGCTACTGATTTATTAAACGCAGCTCATTGTCATACATATAAGATCATCATCTAAGTGATTCAACTTTTCATGCATGCATTTATCCACCCATAATATTAGGTGGTCAAGTATGTGCAATGATGCACATTTTAGGGACATAATTCATATTATAACATACACAATCAGGGTTATTTTTAACACTCCCTTTAACAATTATTTACGTATGAATAATAATATGATTGCTTGGTATATTGATCTCCGTGAGAGGCTGCTCCTCAGCTTGGCGTTGAATCCGTTTAGGACACATATTGCATTTCTTGACAAGAAATACTATTGCACACAGAAAAACTACTAGTGAAAATAATATCCCTAAAATTAACACTGCTATTTCTGATGCTGTCCAATTGTCATCGCTGAATGAGAACACCTGCAGATTCCTGGCTTCTTTTTGAATCCATTCGTCATTTGTGTTCCAGATTTCATTTAAGTCTTCACTTAAATGACTCCAATTGACTCGCGGATTCAAGTGCCAGTTTACGAGTTCAGAAAAAAGAGGATCTTCTCGCTCTTTATAGACGACACGTAATATATTTCCCTTGAATTCAACCTCGTTCAGAGTGAATGTCAAAGATATTGGCAATGTGAATACTTTGTCTGGACATTTTACTCTCCTCTTGCCCACCAAGTACTCTCCTCCTGGACAATATACATGATAAAGACTGTCAAGTATTTTTACTTGTACAAACTCTTTTTCATCTCCAATTGCCGAAATCTGACACTTCTCAATCTTATAGAGTTTTCCTCCGTTTGAGAAGGACGATTCATTTCGACACTTGTTTGAAGTCGTCATTTCAATGTTGTTGTGAGCTTTTTCATAATAAGTCTCATACACATATTATTCTCCCACATGCAATGTGGCAACAGTCGGGCCTGAGTATTCCATACGACAGGTTAAATTATCTCGTTTCAACATTAAGAAAAACGGATCTGCTGTTAGTTTAGTGAGATTTTTGTTCACTATTGGCACCGAGAAATCCAAATTTATTTGAGTTCTCTCCTTGTTCATTTGGCATAAGTGAAATATTCCAAACTCCACTGGACACTCGTCTCCACAAGGCAGAGTGAAATTCAGATATTCCAAAAGGTCAGGAGTCATTTGTTTTTTCTTCCATGCTTTTTTCGTGTCCCAAATCACTTTTCTCCCCTCAACCAATTTACTTGTGAGGTAAGAGATTAAATATTGTATGGTTACAACTCCTTCCTTAAAGTTGTTTAAATCATTCATTGTTTTCTGGACTTGGTAACCAACTTTAATTATCTCCATTTTTAGAACTTTTATGTGCTGACGGTCTTCATAAACTTGTCTTTCAAGTTTATTGAAAGCAAATTCTAGTTCGTCTTGTCGAGTTTCTAGTCGGTGTGTCTCTGCTATTGCATAACTGCCCAGTCCGATCCCAGCACTTCCAACACAAGCGACAAGAATAAATCCCACAACGACAGGAATTACTCTTTTTTGTCTTCGCCTCCCTTGTGGTGGAGAGCAAATATCTTCTAAATTATTTAGAAATATTTTGTCATATGCTGTTTCACATTGTTTTTTCATGATGTTTGCAATTCTGGGTTCCAAATCATCCAATGGCAAAAAATCGCATGGTGAAATTAAAGCGATTCTCATATTTATCGCATGAAATCCGATCACCACTGGTTCATAGCTCTTTCTCCACAAAACAGGACTTCCCTCTTTGTGTAAATCGGTTGCTCCAATAGTTAAAAATGAGAGCAATAAAGCCATAAAACTCCACAATAAACTGGGTCGCTTTGGGTTGGCAATAACACTGCACAGTGCTCTTCTCTTCTCTCCCTTTGCAGGAGGAGGAGGGACCATTCCCATCAAATATCTTTTCGTCTCAAACGACTCCCTCACCACTGATTTGGTTAAAATATCAGCAGGTTGAACTTTGTCAGGCAAATGCTCCAATACGACTTGGTTTGTTTCAACCAGATCTCGGATGAAGTGATGCCTAATGTCAATGTGTTTTGATTTGTCGTGGAATTCATCATTTTTCGCCAGTCTAATTGCACTCTGGCTGTCCGTTTTTAGACAGATAGGTTCATTTTCCAGTGAAATCATATCTAGCTCTAAGTATAATCTGGTTACCCAGACCGCTTCTTTTCCAGCGAGAGCTAAACCTACATATTCAGCTTGGCAACTGGATAAACTTATGCAGGTTTGTCTCTTACTCATCCACACGATGGGAGAGTTGTTGTGAGTGAATAATACACCCGATGTTGATTTCCGTGAAGTTGTGTCGGAGCCGTAATCTGCATCTACGTACGCACAGACGACGTCTCGGTCTGCCTCACTTTCAGTGTACATAATACCAAGAGATTTTGTCCCTTTTAGGTATTGCAGGATTCTTTTTGCTGCATTCATATGTAGTTTGTTGTAGCTCCCAAAAAACCGGGATAAATAATGCGTGGCATACGCAATATCTGGTTGTGTACATCGCACTAGAAATAATAGTGAACCAATGAGTTGTTGAAACTCTAAATTTGGGTCACATTCACTCCCGTCAAACTGCAAACCAGGCTGCATAGGAATTGGTAGTGTGATGCAATCTTGCATTCCAAATCTCTCAAGCAAATCCTCGATATACTTGGTCTGGTGCAAGAATATTCCTTCCTCCACTTGTAAGATTTCAATGCCGAGAAATCTGACAAGGGGTTGAATTGTAACTTTGAATGAAGCTTTTAACTTCTCAATTTCTGCAAGCAACTCCTTTTTGTTTTTACCAGCAAAGAGTCCATCGTCAACGTATATTACTACGTATATTTTTCCCGTGGATGTTGTTTTCATAAACAAGCATTTGTCGCTTTTGGATTGTACATATCCCATTTCTTTCAGCTTTGCGCTAAATGTCTCGAACCAAGCCCGTCCTGATTGTGGCAGTCCGTATAAGGTTTTGTCCAATATGTAGACCATATCAGATCCGATTTCATAACCTTCAGCTTGTTCCATGTATACTTCTTCTTTTAGTTCTGAATTCAAGTAAGCTGTTCCTATGTCGAATTGTACTAATTTTAATTTCCTTGCTGCTGCTACAGACAACAAAGTTCTGATCGTCTCATATCTGCTAACTGGTGCAAATGTTTCAGTGTAATCTACACCTTTGACTTGGTTAAAACCCTTCACCACTAAGCGTGCTTTAAATTTCTCAATTTCACCGTTTGGATTGTGCTTAATTTTATAAACCCACCGGTTTTTCAGCACCTTTTTTCCTACGGGTCGTTTTACAAGTCTCCATGTTCCATTTTCAGAATGACTTCTCATTTCAGAATCCATCGCCTCCTTCCACTCTCCAGCATATTTAGAGCTGAGAGCTGCTGAATAAGTTGTTGGCTCGGTGTTTGTTGCGTGCATAGCTACATTTGCGTCACCGCTGCCGGCTTGATAAAACTTCCTTTGTTGCCTCTCCCTTTTGGGTTTAGAGGAACTGGGCTGTGGTGGGAGGGAGGTGTTCACAAAATTACGGTCTTCTTGTGATGCTTCCCATTGTATCTCATCTGCCCATGTTTCGTTGTGCTGATGAACTTTGGGGTTAGTTTGCTGCGGAGAATTGCTTGCTGACGAATAAGTCTCAGCTTCTTCATCCTCTGTCTCACTTGCCCCGTCTGTTTGTTCAGTTTCATCATTTCTTACTTCTTCGGTAGAAAATGTAGTAATAATCTCATCAGGTTCATCGTTAGTAATGCTCTCTCTTCGAGAAGCATTTGTTTCGATAAAATTCACATGTTTAGCTTGGTAGTGATATTTTCCTTCCGCTGGATCATACAAAATGTAGTTCTTTGAATTCGCATCAAAACCAACCAAAATGCATTCTGTAGCTTTGTCATCGAATTTCTTTCCTTGTCCATTTGTTATGTGAGCGAAAGCTTTATTCCCAAAAATCCGAACATGCTGTAAAGTAGGTTTCTTTCCTATAACTTGTTCGTATGGAGTTTTTTCTGTATTTTTCGTACTCAAGGTTCTGTTGAGTACGTAGCATGCAGTTCGGATTGCATCCTCCCAGTGCGATTCATGCAGCTGACTTTGGATCAGCATTGACCTCGCTGCATCTTGTTCGATTCGCATTTCACGTTCTACGAATCCATTACTGGGACTGCACTGAGGTGAGTTGAGACCGAATCGTATTCCTCGTTTAGAGAAGAAGGATACCAATTCTTGGCATTTGTACTCGCCCCCATTATCCGATCTGAACATCTTCACGTTATTTCCGTTCTGAGTACGCATGAAGTTAATCGCATCTATAACATTCATTGCGGTTTCACCTTTTTTCTTTTGGAAATATACTTGTCTAAAGGTGATGCTTCGTCCTTTACTACAAGGAAGTACGAATTTCCATTTTTCGAAATTGCATTTGCATAACCAAGATCGGAATGTAAGCATTCTCCTGGCAAATACTTTACAGTTTTTTCAACTGTAACGTAACTCTTCTTCTTGGACTTTGCTTTCATGCATATTTCGCACTTGAAATTCACATCCTCTCGCTTCATATTTTCCAGGCCATACGCAGCCTCTTTGTCCTTAGTATCGTTCAGAAACTTGGAGTTAATATGAGCTAATCTCTCGTGCCATACGACAGGCTTGATACAGGCCATCGCTCTGTTTACAATTGGCTTGAATTTCACTATTTGAAGACCGTCTCTTCGTTCGGCTTCAATATCACGCTGTCCATCGCGATAATAAATAATTTGATTATTTCCGCTTTTGCTTACTACTAAGCCTTTGTCGAGAAGAACATTTTCTGACAGTAAATTTGCCCCCCCTGGCACATATTCAACTTGGTAAATAGTTATTTCCACCCAAACTTTGTTAATAAGTGCTTTCACTTTCACTGCTCCTACGCCTTTTACAAGCATGAGAGAGTTATCGGGCATGCTGACCGATTTTGGGCATGGGTATTCTTTATATTCGAAAAACCAGTCTTTTCGCCCACAATAATGGCGATTTGCACCAGAGTCATTTATCCAAAGGTCACTTAGCCCACCAGCCATATAAGCTCCTTCTGATTTTTCATCAGATTTCTGTTCCTTCTTTGCAGAATCTTTATCTTTGAAGGTGCACTCACTTTTCCAGTGGCCCTTTAATTTACAGATGTGACATTTAGTTTTCTTTTTCAGATCACTAATTTCTTGTCTGGTTCGCTTTGGTCGCTCTTTCTTGGCTGCATATGCTTTTGATGTCTCTTCGACATGTGAAGCATTTTTGTACGTCTCGCCATCTTCTAACTCCCAGGTTTTCAACCTGGAGAGAAGTAGAGCTGATGTTTGTTTCGCAATCTCAACTGACCTCCAGGCCTCTCGAAATTGGCGAAACTTTTCGTCCATCATACTGGAAATTATCCTAGCGACCTCCATCTCGTCATCAATTACAGCTCCCATACTTCGCAGTTGGGCGGCATAATTTTGTATTTCAATCATTGTTTTAACTGGGGACTTGCCTGAGGTTACCATAATGCTGTAATATTTCTGCCACAGCACTTGTTTGCTCTCTCCACTGATGCTTTGGTACATCGTGTTTAGTTTATTCCAGATTTCATGGGCATATGACGAAATATTTCTAAATAATTTAGAAGATATTTGCTCTCCACCACAAGGGAGGCGAAGACAAAAAAGAGTAATTCCTGTCGTTGTGGGATTTATTCTTGTCGCTTGTGTTGGAAGTGCTGGGATCGGACTGGGCAGTTATGCAATAGCAGAGACACACCGACTAGAAACTCGACAAGACGAACTAGAATTTGCTTGCTGATAACGTGTTCAAAATATAAGGAGAGAGATGCTCGACTGTTGGAGTATTTTCAGCTACTGATTTATTAAACGCAGCTCATTGTCATACATATAAGATCATCATCTAAGTCATTCAACTTTTCATGCATGCATTTATCCACCCATAATATTAGGTGGTCAAGTATGTGCAATGATGCACATTTTAGGGACATAATTCATATTATAACATACACAATCAGGGTTATTTTTAACATCAACATGTAATCTAAGTGCAATTTATTCTTGAATGCAGGTGAGGGTAACCCATGTTATAAATTTCTACACAATCAACCGTTATAACACGTACAATATAGGGTGGTTAAAATGTCACACTACAATGGAAAATTTTTCGATGGGAAACCATCGTAAATTTCCATTAGTTACAGAAATTTTGTCTCTGAAGTTCAACATTTTAAGATTCCATCATCAAAGTTCCATCAGTTTTAATGATAATTAATAAAATCTCAATCCAAAATCTTGTAACCAATGCAGATTTTGGGGCTTTTCTCATTAACAAATTTTCCATTTTCCATTTTCCTTACAAAACACACTTTAATTTATGTACTTTAAGATTTGCACACCTCTTCATCTCTCCACTTTTCACGGAAACCGCCCTCGAGCGAGAAGTACTCGCGGTGGAGTCAGAACATCAAAAATACATCTCCGACGATTGGAGACGCATCGAAAGAGTAATTGCGCAAACTGGGAAACCCGGGCATCCGTTCGGCCGTTATAGAACCGGTAAGTTCAAAAAACTCAAAATGCAAGGTCATCAATTCAGCCACGAAAAATTCTTGAATATGATTCGACATCACATTCTGTGATTAGAGAATTAGAATTTTTGGCGAATATTTCCGATAAATTTTATTGCATATTAATTCAACATTAGTAAAGCGGACAACCAAAATTGTCGCGGTCGACAAAAATTTTCATTTGTAAATATTTTTACGCATTGATATATTTCCAGGATCTCTTGAAACCCTGTGGACACACCCTAAATCTATCGGGTTGAATATCCGGGACGCCCTTTTGGACTTTCACCTCACCTATTATTCCTCCCAATTGATGAATCTCGCCGTCATAGGAGCGCAGTCTTTAGACGAACTTCAACTCCTCGTGGAGAAAGTATTTGTCAACGTCCCGCAAAGTAACATCACTCTGGAAGACGTCGATGGATCCATGACCCAGCTGTACGGGAGAGACGAACTCGAAGAACGGATTGATGTAGCCCCCTTGGGAAACTTGAGATCACTCCAGCTCATATTTCCGATCGATTATGTTCCCGAGTACTACAAAAATACGGTAATAGAAACTAACTCCAAAAAATTGGGACTACACTCCCTCGTCGCAGGATTGAACTTTTACAGAAATTTAGAATTCTGAGAACTACGCTACTGTGTGTCACAAATTCCCTCAAATAATGCTGACGGGGAACGTTGAGACTGGCAGTGGCGTAGTTTCTCAGAATTCTCAATCTCTTTAAAAGTTGAATCCTGCGTGGATGGAGAGTTAGTATTAACTTCAAGCGTTATCTTTAAAACAACGGGAAACAGCTAGTGTTCCGCACGAATCCCGAGTCCGAATCACCGTTTTTCAGGATTCGTCCATCTCGAATCCGAATCTGAACCAGGCATTTCCGAATCCGGGTACACGTGGACCACTAGCAACATAAATTTTAAATTTTTCCACAATTTCACTACCTCTTAGAACTTTTTTCAGAACGATCTTCATGCTAAACTACATAAGTTTGTAACGTGCTAACAACATGAATTTTCCTGAATTTCAGGCTCTCGGCTATCTTTCGCACCTCCTCGGTCAAGAAGGTCCCGGTTCTTTGTCCGCCTTTTTGAAGAAACGCCACTTCGCGGAAAGTGTTACGGTCGGCGGGTTTCTACCCTCGAGAGGTATGACGTTCTTCAAAATCCGTTTAGCCCTCACTCAAGAAGGCTTTCGAAATCTCAATCAAGTTGTGAAACACATTTTTCAGGTGATTTTATTTATTTGTTTGGAAAACCTAAGATAAAAATTATTTACTTTGGGTCATCTCATTTCGTCGGTCAATAATATGGGTTTTTTATTACAATTTTACATCTAGTGCATTACAATGATACGTGAAAAGGGTCCACAACTCTGGTTTTGGGAGGAAGTTCGTGCCATGAGTATGATGCACTTCCGCTTCCGGGATGAACTTTACCCTATCGATCTCGTCACAAAGCTGGCCACAAATATGATTGTAAGCACTGTTCCTAAATTTCCTTAATTAAGGTTTTCATAAATTTTATACGAGTACGAATTCGAAGGAAAAGGGGGACAAAAGTTTGTCAAAATTTTGAAAAAATGATTTTTTCTAGGTTTATCCCGTTCAAAAAGTTCTTTACGCGAACGGGATCGATCCCGATTTGAAATATAATGCAACCTCTATTGATCACACGTTGGGTCTCCTGACTCCGAGAAATTGCAGGTAAATTTACATGTACAAAAATAATGCCGTACAAAATTACAACTGGGCGTGTCGTTGACTTAATACTACTAGTTTGCTCGAAATTCCGCGAAATTCAAATTTTCCATCTGGTTAGCTTTGCCTTTTGGACCTATTGCGCTCTGCAAGCTATTCATTACAAAATCTGTGTATTTACTATCGGTCCACATATTTTCATCGACCAAACATCTATTTTAATTTTTTAAAACCTTTTAACCCAGACTTGTCGTAGCGTCGTCCGAACTCCAAAATACAACTACCCATAAAGAACACCATTTCGGGGTAGAGTACAACCGGGTAAAGATCGATGAGGATTTACTCCAAGAATGGGAAAACGTTACCCTTAATGACATTGACTTTCCGTCCGACTTCTATCTCCCAGAGCCAAATGAATTCATCGCATCAAAATTCGATCTAAAACCGCGCGATAATCAAAGTGTGAGTAAATATTTGCAGTATTGAGACCCAATTGAAATCATTGGCAAAATTTGAATTGACTAAATATGTACTCTCCATCCACGCAAGTTTGAACTTTTACAAAAATTTAGATTTCTGAGAAACTACGCCACTGCATGTCATTCCTAGAAGAATTTTACTTATGGGGTAGTGTGAGACTGACAGGGCGTAGTTTCTCAGAATTCTAAATATCTGTAAAAGTTCAATTCTGCGTCGAAACAGAGTACCAATTCAATTATAATGAAATCCCATCCCAGCTTGACGATACTTTCACCCCCCGACTCCTCATGGATACGACTTTCACTCAACTATGGTACCTTCAAGACAACATGTTCCTTCTTCCAAAAGCCAGCGTGACCGTTGAACTGTTAAGGTATGTAATTCCCGCAAAAATGTATGGCGCACTCCAGAGTTGAGGGGCCATCCATAAATTTTGTCATGCAAAAATCGCGATTTTCTGGACCCCCCCTATAACAGAGGCGCGATATCATTAGAGCCTTTGACCCCCCTCACCCCTCTGCGTGACATAATTTATGGACTGTCCCTGAGCCGGTCACCCGAACTTTGGATAAAGTATCCATCGGAACCGCCGTAACTTCGGTTCGGATAGATCAGATAAACTATGTGAATACATTTCTACAGCCCCATGGCATACGGGGACCCCTTGAAGGCCAACCTTCTCCTCCTCTGGAGCAAGCTTATTACACACTCACTCGCCGAGTTCCAATATAGTGCCAGCTTGGCCGGAATTCATTCAGACGTGGCTGCCATGGAGGGTGGTATTCAGGTGGGTTTGGGTTCCGCACCGATTACGGCATCCAAAATCTATACCAGTTTGCTAAAATTTTCCAAAAATTTTCCAATATCCGATTAATCGAAAACCGGTTTTTCAAAAATTTTCCGATTTTGAACGCCCTAGTCCCGATTCATCTCGCATCGCCCAAAGCGATCAGTTTATCCGAGTCAAGTAACGACCTACACTTGCTTATTTTTTGTTTTATTTTCGTAAAAAGCTCACCGTGAAAGGGTTTGACCACAAGTTGGGCGCATTTCTGGAAAAAATTTTAACCCGAATCCTCACCTTTTCCGTTGGTGAGGGGGATGACCAATCTTTCGCGGCTGGGAAGGACGCCGTCCTCGACATCATCGTAAACACGGGGCAATCGCAACCCCACGAAATGGCGGATCGAGTCATTCGACAATTATTTCTCGAGACGCGGTGGACACCTGGAGATTTATTGGATGCCATGGAAGGTAGAAAAATCTCTCAATTTTCTAAAAGCCTTGGGGAACTTCATAAATCATGTAACGCAAAAATCGCGGTTGAAAAATCTCGCCTACCACATAATTTGTGAACGTGCCCTTCAAAATTATTGAATCTATTCCACTTTCTAATTTTGGAATGGGATCAAGATTTCTGAATTCAATATTTTGTATGAAACGATGCAAAATTTTTTAGCAGGCACTATTTTCTTTACTTATTCCTGATTTCAATTATCTTTAAGACGTCAAGATTTCCACAATGCGAAGCTTTATCAAGGAATATTTAGACAGACTAAAGTTTCGATGGATGTTTTACGGAAATTTTGAACCTGAGGTGAAAACACAGTAAAATGATCAGTTATTGACTCTCGTTTTTGCTCTTTTAAATTGACATACATAAACCAGGAATGTGTCAAAATCGTTCAAGATTGCGAGGCCCTCTTCATCTTGAATGGGACACGCTCAATATTTTCCAGCCAAGCAAAAACTGTCCTCGCGCCACAACGAGTAATCCAGTTACCCGAAGGTTCGTAATTACACCGTTAGAAATCCAGGCTTAAAATAATTTCAAACGCAAATTCTATTATAAATTATTGTATTACTTCCACTTCCACTAACTATTACAATGTTAATAATACTAATATTGTACAAAATAAATAAGGTTTAGCACCATTTAAAATTTTGAATCAGGCGCCAATTTCCTCCATCGGGTTGAGCAGTCCTCACACTCGTCTTCCTGCACCGTCGTGCTCTTCCAAATCGGTCTGGACTCCTCGAGGTCGTCCATGCTCATACAGCTGGTATCCCGTGTCATGCACTCGCCCATCTTTGACCAGCTGAGGACCAAGGAACAGCTGGGCTACACCGTGTGGGCGGATGACTTCGGGGTCGCCTACTACTCCACGGTGTCACTAAGGATACTGGTGCAGGGGAGTAGAGACCCGACCTATGTGGAAGGGCGGATTAACAACTTTCTCGCAGATTTCGAGGTAATTTTCAAGAATTTTGGGAAAATTTTGAAACGTACATTTGAAATGTTCATATTAACATTTACATAAAGGGTGTTGATTTAATTCGCCCTTATTTTTTCATTGTTTGAAAACTTGTAAATAACTCAAAAAAGGTGAAAACTCGATTCTGTTTTAGATATTTGATTATTGTGACTCTTTAGTTGAAATTATTTTCAAAGTTTTTGCACAAAACTTTACTTTTTTACTCGGTTTTTGTAAATCCTGGCATTACATTTTCATTGCAAATACGATTTTGTGACGATGAATTTTTTGCAGAACGTTCTAGCAAATATGACGGAAAAGGAATTTCTTCGCCACCGCAAATCCATCTCCAACATTAGATCCAACCCGCCAAAAACAATGACGGACAAAGTAGCGACCATCACACGGGAAATTTATTCTCAGCGATTTAACTTTCATCGCCTTCAGGTGGATCTGGAAACCTTGGAGGGCATCGGATTGGCAGATCTTCGCCAATTTTTTACCGTTCGTTAATTCTACATTGTTTCCCAAAAATTATATGCGATTCTTTCATGAGTTTATCAACCAGGACGAAGTTACATTGCTGTGTTTTTTGTTGTTATTACGAATCAGGTCCAGAATTTTTTCCACTTTTCAAGATTTTTCAATTATACTTTATCTCACACAGGAACACATCTCTAACCCTAAAACGAGACGAAGACTCGCCGTCCACGTTTTTCCATCGGTTTCCCTCATAAATTCTACTTTTCCCTTGACCACACCTTCTGACGGAATGGGTGTGGCCTATTCTGTTTCCAACATTACCGGCGGGAACGACAACCTTTTTACGGCCCAAAACGAAATTATGGTACGTAATTCAAATTGTAATTATATCAAAGATTACGGCATTATGAGTATTACGGCAAAGTAGCATACTAATTAACTGCACATATTTAGCGGCAAATGTCTGCAATGTATGTAACCAGTGGGGATTATAAATTATGGTCGCGCTTTACATGATCAAAGACAAATTTTTGAATTGTGGTCCAGGATTTTAGACAGGAATTGATTGAGTTTGTAATTTAAAAAAAAGTTCAATGCTTTAGTTAATCGTGAACTTTTTTCGCTGGGAGCATAAGCTCGGCTTGAAAAAAGAAAGGTTTCCCTGACATACATAATTTATGTATGGAATCATACATAATTTAAAAACTCTCACTTCTTTTGTCCTAGGCCGATCTAATTGAAGACATCGTTTCTTGGAAGCAAACTATGCACCTTTTTCCCAATTCAAACCCATTCAACCCTTTGAATTAGAAATTATGGTGTCTCAAATGGACCGAATGGGAACAAAATACATCACGTACACATATGTTTTACCTTCATCCTAACATTTTTTTACCGGTTCCTACCTTTTTTTATTTTCGGAAGCGTCGTCTTTCTGGAAGCGTCCGGTATTTACTTCCAATTGTTAAATAAAATTGAAGTGTTAATGTATAAATATTCATACATATTTAAATACATATGTATATGCATATACATATATGTATATATTAATAAATTGACTTTTTTGTTACACTTTGTGGAAAATTTTAACCCGTTAATGTACCTCCACTTATTGTGCATTCAGTGATTTACTTACAATGTACATCTTTCAAGCATAGCCCGAGTCATTCAACAAGTTCTGCATTTTAAAAATAAGACTACAATGGATCGATTGGTATAACGGCTTAAAGCATTTTCTCCTTTAGTAAAAATCCTCGCATTCTTTTGTATATATTTAATTTTAAGTCCATTAAAATGGACACTTTTCAGTAAAATGTGCATATTTATGATCTTGTTATTTCTGGTACTTACATTTTTCTTTGTTCACGCCGCATATATGTACAAAATTATTTGCGTCACAATAGTCTGGTAATAAAGCCTGAAATATCGTTTTCCTTATTTTCACACAAAAGGGTCTCATTTCCAGTGAAGACGCCAAGCAGGAAAGTCGTACCTAGTTCACGATTTCTCGACGTTTATTCAGAATCGTTTACAAACTCACTAACTTCATATTTCATAAAAAATGGCCCTCATCTCCGTTTCTGCCCTCCTTATTTGTTTCGTAGCATTTCCGGGCACGACTCCGATAACCGTTACGATCACGAGAGATCAAGGATTTACTGGTTAAAAAATACAATACCTACACTTTTAAAAAGGATGTTACCCTTTTGAAAAGTAAATGGAGTGTCAATTATTCGAAATTAAGTAAACCATACTAAATCCAGAGTTACTTTAACCTGATAAAGTTGCTTTTCAGAAGGGTAGCATTATTTTTAAGGGCACAATTTAACCCCAAATTTTCGGGGTAATATAATATCAACGAATTCTCTCAGGTGACCGATGGGTGTACGACCCCCTCGAGTATAAATGCACCACGGCCCCATGGGTGAATGGGATCACGTGTCTTGGTCACAGTGAATGCGTCGTTGCCTGCCCCTCGCCCAACTGTCGCGTGGAAGGGGACAGACAATGCATCGTTTTCGATGGGGCGAACAACCACGACTTTTCACGCGAAGTGTTTGGAAATTTTAACGATTATTTTAACTCGCTTACGTCCTGTCAATGGTGGAACGACCAGTTTAAAAGTAAGCCGCGGAATGCGAGCTTATCTGATAGTGCAGATATCGCGTAATGATAAGTACAATTTTGTGTTTTGGTAATCATCATAATTTATTTTTTGGATTTATGCAATATTACATTATGTAATTTAATTTCTGATCCGATTTTGAGGTAGCCATTTAAGAGCGAAATTAGTGTTTCTAAGGATTAATTATCAATCCAATTAAATCTACTGTAACTAAATATGTATGTTGGACAATGCTTTCGAAATTTTAATTTTTTTACAGCAAAATAAATCCATCACTTTTCATCATCAATAAAGTTTAAAATTTTAACATGCTTGCGATTTCATGACTTGAAAATTTTGCATGTTATGAAATCCTATTCTGATTTGGCAACGAAATCGTGCAAAGAATTATTGCCAGCGTAACTCACTCCTCCCTGTGAGCAACCTTTCACACCGATATTTTCCACTTGGAACAGAGCTCCCGCATCCGGTCCAATGTCCGAAGCTTTCTCCGTCGGCATAAAGGCACCGGCGGTCGTGACGTACAAAATCTCCAAGTTTTTACCCCCAAATGTCGGGCAGGTTGCTCTTTTCGTTGGGATTTTGACACATCCAATTTGCTTCCCTACCTTCGGGTCGACTTTAATTACCTGTTTGCATATAAAAATTCAGATTTAAGTTTCCCAAAAATTAAATAGATATGAAGGGAAATTATGAATAATTAATTTATATTTACCCCTTCCCCACTAAACATAGAAATCCATAAATTCCCATCAGAATCAGTTGTCATTCCATCGGGAAAACCTGCAGTGTTGTTAGCTTCGAAGTCGAACACGATGCGACGGTTGCCTTTTTTGGAATAATTGAAAAATATGTATATGTTGAAAAAAACAAATTTCTGAAAATTTGTTAAAGTTTTAAATAAACTTCCATCCGTTACGTCAAAATCAAATGCTGCCAACTTTGTAGAATACGAATCGTTGTAGTACATTGTACAATTGTCGGGTGACCAGGTTAACCCGTTCGAAAAATCGATCCCACTCAAATGACCTGTTAACTTTCCATCGTTTCCGAGACAGTACAAAGTTCCCAGGTTGGGGTCAGCTTTTCCAGTTTCGAAACTATAGGGGCCAATGGTTCCTATTATTTTTAAAGCAAACATACTATTAGAATTTAGTATTTGTGTAATTTACGGCGAACATTTACCGCTAGAAATCTGGCATAGTTTATTGATTGCTCGGCATTAAAGTTGATTCCGCTTGGTATTACAATTATACCAGTCGGTAAAAATTTCCAACCGATACGGTTCAACTTCAATACCGAGCTAGTATTACTACACGGGATTACTCATCAACAACATACTGGTTGGTGCATATTATGTACTTTAATATTTAATTTCTAAGGGTGTATAATTATGTTTTAAATAGTCAGGAAAGCGAATTATGAATTTTATTGGAATAATACAAATTATTACCTGTCCAAAATCTTCCTGATGAGTCACATTTTCCATCGTTTAACCAATTTATTGTCGGAGCATCTTGGTCAACTGTGTGGACAGTTTTCAAAGTTGCTGCCCTTTCTGACATCCCGTCCCACTCCATTACGTTGAGCGTTCTGCCGATGCTGATTAAATATTTTTGAGCTTCGCCGCGCACAGGGACGACAGCGGGAACCCAGCCATCGTCTGAAAAAAATGTATTCATGATTTTCACAAAAATTTTAATGAGCGTACTCATTCTCAGGTCGACCTCCTTCCTTATACTACTTCGCAAACTAAGCATTGCAACATAATTTGTGAAATTTGCGAAAATTCTAAAAATTTTCTCAAAATATGATTATATAAATCATATTCTGTATTTTGTGACTCTCCTCACGACATTAATTTTTTGAGATTCGCAAGTTTGCTAAATTAATTCCGATCCTAAATACGCAACACGACGTTGCCGTGAGCACGCCCAATACATATTTATATTCTAATTTTGCAAGCCAAGAAGAAATCTTTGCAAATTTTATGAAATCGTACTAAATACTAATCTGAGTTCCTTTCTACATATTTTGCTTTTAGTTTTCCAACATTTAAATTTAGTTTATATGCAAAATGTATTTACGTACTTAAAACAATTAGTTCTTACAGATATACATACATGTACATATTTACATATGTTTACGAGGTTTTAAACACTGCATAGAAACAATCACTGAAGTAAAATTTTCGACTAATTATTTTTAACCTGTCAGATTTTTATGTATTCATCTCACCAATTTGAAGTCGGTAGCACTCCTTAGATTTTGGCACATAGAGAAAAACCGCTTGACCGGTTAAATCGACGTAAAGGAGTTCTTCCTTCTCGGCGTCCCAGTGGGCCCCTTCACCAAGGCCGTCGAAACACTTGACCGATCCTGGAGCAACTTTAAGAGAATATTCCATTCTCTTGCTTGACCGACAGAGAAACGTTTACTTATTGACCAACTGCTCCAACGTTTGTGGGAAGAATTGCATGTGGTGGATGAATGTAAAGTGGTGAATAGCAGATGGATTTTTTCATGCAGAATACATAAGACTCATGAACAATGCTTCGTAAGTGGGGTATATGTACCAAAAAACAGTTATGTTGATGCATATGTATGCGTTATCGACTAAAAAATATTGCTTATCAGAGTTCTCCTGTGGTAATACCTCAAAAACGTAGATTAACGTCATTGACATATTTATGTGGATTCATATGTACAGTCTCAGATCGCCTTATTCACCATTTAGCATAGCAATTTTAGTCACCAAATACTTAGTTTCTGCTAAAAATTTTCGCGTTGATAAACTTTATTTCCTATTCCTTCGACATGGTAACGCTGCACCGCCGAAAAATCACTATAGTTAGCGCCACAATATTGGTTCGCGTCGAACTCTGATTTACACCACATGCTGGAAAATAAGGCATGTCCCAGGTTTGGTTAGACAGTTGGATCATATAGTCTACTGCGCAATTAGTCTAGATTGTTGCTTAACTAACTTAGTTTTTTGAAACGCAATTTCAAGGGCTTCTAGCAGGTGTAAAGCATTTTTTATTAAAACGACGAAATTCAATAGAAATCGGGGTCAAAGTGAGAAATTCGCAAAACGAGTTTTTCACAACTAAAAAATTGACACTTTACATGACTCGACAATGACGTAGCAGTAATTCAAGACGGAAAGGTATCATAAAATGGCAAACTACCTTTATATTTCGAAGTATCAGGATGCCAAAAAGTGCACTTTTTAAAAATTTCCAGGCCACCTCTTTTCATAGCCACCAATTAAAACTCGAAAGACGTAAAAACACTTTTCACCAATAACTTTTCCACGTAAACTTGTGGCGCTGCTCGGGTACTGCTAATTTCAAAATGTTTACTCTGCAACATTAAAGTTCATAAACTGAGGGTTACATAAAAAAATAAACGAAGTCTCCAAAAGTACGTTAAGGGCCAAAAAAGCAGACTTCAAAAAAATTCTAAAAAAGAATGTTGACAAATGTCAATAAAAATTAATGTTATTTATGACGGCAACTACGGCGAAGTAGATCTCTCAGAGACTTCGGGATGGAAATTTTTTCACTCGGCCAACCCCTCTGACGTGGAATATCAACATGAATTTAAAGTGAAAACCAAATTCCTTGTGAAATTCCTAGTTTGGTTGGGGCCGGACAGTTTTGGCAACATTTCGCCAGCGTATATTTGAAAATGTACCATAAATACAGAAGTAAACAAAGACGACTGTTTGAAGCGGTCACAGGTCTGAATAAGGAAACTTCATAATCTGGATGAAATTTGACCTTGGCCGGACCTCACAACCACCCATTACGCCAAAGTTTGGACCGCGCAATTTCGGGTTGAATGTGTCGATTTTGTCTTTTAAAAAGATAATCTCTCAAATGTCCCTCAATTGCGACGAATCGAAAAGTTTTAAGCCTCTTGTAAAACTAGATACTCTAAGCTAAATTGCAATGCGAAAAAGCTGCAAGAATTCAAAGGTTAATTGGGAAAAATCAGCAAGGACATTTCGCAAGCGAGTGGAAAACCGCAAATTCGAGGGTTGGTGCGGAAAGACGGATAGGGGGCGGAGAAGGGGTTGTCACAAATCCCCCGGGACAAAAACTGGTTGGTATGATTACCACCTACCCTGCACCGAAGACTGTATAAAAATATTCTAACCAGGCAGAACTACACAGGTCATGGATCACTGTCTAACTTTCCCTGGGACACGGTATATGTTTTTGACACGTTGTTCTGGAAATATTTATAATTCCATATAAAATTTTCTTAAGGAAAACATTTGCATATCGACGGCACCCTGTGTATTGCCATCATCCCATCAACGTTTTGGAGTAACATGGTAAAAACCAGACATTATAAATCATTGCATATACATACATACATACATAGTCCGACCATAAGTTCCCGTGAATGCATTTCCGGTGATAAAGCCCAAAGTATTAGAGCTATCTGATAGAAATTTTTGTGGATGAACAAGGTATTAATCTTGTTTAGAAATCATAACTTCGTTTTCACAATTTCCTCCACGGTCTTGTACACAAGACATAAGTCGTGGCGAAAACTGCTCGATCGCGGCACGCACGGATTTCCTGGGAAAAGCGCCAGATCTTCAGTAAGTGCGACCTCAGCCCTTCCACACTTGGGTGAAATTTAGAGCATACGTGTACCTATAATTTTGACCACCAGTCATAATTTAGGGGATTAAGGTCTGCAGATACTGAGCACCGTTCTACGGATGAAAAAAAGTCATGAAAATTCGTCTGAAGCCAGTTTTGGACAATTTTGCACCTTGCGCATGAGCAGATTCTTGTTGAAAGATCCAATGGCGATTTTCGGAGGGTCCAGGGTTCAGGTTGTTAACGTTTGTCTCTAGGACACTCTGAAAATAATTCTTGGCTTCAACTTGTACCCTTTGCGGTAAAAAACAGAGATTTCATTTCTCCAGCCAACTTGCTCCCATTCACACCACGGTGATGACTTCGTAATGACTTCCGCATACTTAAACGGATGTCAGACTTCTGTACAACAAATATCTGGCCTTTTTTTCTATTAAATTTTTTGCCAACGGTGAAAAGTCTGAAATACTTTTGGCACGAAAATTGGCGCGTACCACGATCGACCTGTGGCCGTCACGAGTTATGTCTTGTCTAATTGCCCGTGGACGAAATCTTGACAAAGAAGTTATGATTTCTAAACAATATTAATACCTTGTTAATCCATAAAAATTTCGAACAGATAGCTCTAATACTTTGGGATTTATTACCGGAAATGCATTCACGAGAACTTATGACCTCACTATGTACGTATGTATAGCACTTGTCATTTGGGTTGGGAGAGTGTGTAAAGGATGGGATAGATTTTCAGAAAAAAATCTTGGGTAGTCCATATAATACAAATTCATAACATGGGAAGAATACCATGCCCTTGATCTGTCAACGTATGTACTGTAAGCACAGCCTCGTTGAGTGGGGGACAAACTCATACAAATAAATCCCACTTGATTCGCCAATAATTAACTTGGCTCGTTATATTATACATACAAACACTGGGATATGTAAATTTGTACGTAAAAACGTACGTACTACTTCAATTGAGAAGTGAACGACTGAATCAGGTTATGAAGAACACCACTTCACAACTAAATAAATTAAACGCAAAGGTCATCTGCACTAAATATGTTTTATGCACTTGTATGTGTGTATACATAGATATGTAAACCACATTTACCCAATAATGGTGTATGTATCTGTACATTAAACTCTTGTGCAGGCTTGACATTGATAAGGCACGCTAGTAAAATTAAGCAATACAAATAAGATGTTATCCATTTGCAAATGGGTAACACGATGACATTTAAATACATACTTGTACATATATAAGTATGCACGTCGCATAAGGTTGCATTTTTAACAGAGGTTTAAAAACAATGCACCATTTGGATTCGGGTATTACTGTAGGAATCATATGACTCTACCGGAACGGGTAATAACGACCACAACAATTTAGTAATTTAGCGATAATGAAACATCTACTACTCAAACAAACTACTGCCAATTTAAAGTTACTATCAAACCATTACAAGTACGGAAAATATGTATGTATGATTCTACAGATTTATAGTTCTAAATACAAATTTTCATCTTCAAAATTTTCCTTACGCATTTATCAAACTATTTAACCATGCCTGGAATTTCTTACCCCACCAACCCGCAATGCGGGGAGAACACTTTTGGTAAAAAGTTTCCCATTTTGGCGAAAGAGAACAGATTGTCCAGAACATTAAAAATTATTAAAAAATAAGTTAACAAAAAATTTAAACTTCAGCTTGTATTTCTAATCAATAAATTGAGAGAACACAACCAACTTTAGTTTAGAACTTTGGTTCCCCAGTGCTTTTTATTACATCGGTAAAATTAAAAGGAGAACACTTTCCCAGCGTTTTGCACCGTATTCATGCATATGTATGTAGCATGAATTGAAGCTAACCCTAGTGAGTGAGAAGAATCTTGAGTGATCTGATCTTGGCGATACAAGACAACTTCTCAAATTTCGGTCTCGGTAGAAAAACCCCTCAAAGTCAAACTATTTACATATCCAAGGGTGCAAAACTTAATTAATTATATTATGCCAGAAATTTTGTCTTATCTAGAAAATTAGAGAAGAGAAATGCTCATGGAACAGAGTCCGCATACGAGTAAAAAAACTCAATTTTAGTTTTGATAATTCAGATTAAATAAATCAAATCTGTAAATATTAAAGAAATTGGAACAGCACCAGTAGTTTTAACAAATTGGGTATTGGAGCATGTAGTTTAATTTGTGAAATCGGCTTAAAATGCGAAAAGTTAAATCGTAATCCTGCTGATTTTTAAAAATTCTACCTCAGGAGAAAACAGACGCATGCAATAAAATGCGAAAAACTATGGCCCCTTAATTATGTGCCTGAACAATTAAAAATTATTTAGTCCGGTCAAAACCGGGGATAACCACTTCATGCCTACGTCATGGCATGTATACTTGGAAATAATACATAATTTAGGTGTTCAACAATTTTTATTTTATAAGAAACTCAAAAACATAAATTTTCCATCCTAAATGTCTGCTAAATTTTACTCATACAAATGTATTTTTATGACAAGAGGGAATGACAAAATGACTTTTACCTCGTTCTTAATTATTACTTTTAGCAACCATTTCATATTATTCGTTCTCATTCGCTTCTTCGGAGGCCCCACGTGAACGCATTTCCAATTGTGATTAAATATCTTCGTAGTCTTCATGTTCTTTTTCATCGTCAGATGATTCGATATCGGAAAACTCTTCAAATTCTTCGCTTGAACTGATTTGAGCATCATCGAACGACATTTGTGAGCGTAATAGATCTTCACCGGAAGCTGCATTCACACATATGCCTCCTGTCTCGTTTAATGGACCGGAATAAAATTCTTCCCCGGCGTTGAAGTCGTCGTCCTCTTCCTCGTCGTCCTCTACAGGGAATGGGATAACTT